ATTTATAAGGTGCCAACAAGTTCCGTAGCGCTGTACAATGGGTGGACTGACACGTATTTGTAACCAAACAAGTATGAAGCACAGGAACAGAGGGATTGAGGGCCCTGCTCAATGAACTTACATGCTAGAGGGAGTGGGGTAAAGTGACACAAAAGGTAAGGGTAGGGTAGAAAGGTAGGTTGCTAGAATAGTATTCATTGAGGGCTTAGTGTTTTGGTTTGATGACCGTTTCAGGAGAGGAATCAGGGTGCGGGGAGGGAAAGCTGTTCACAGTTTAATTGACATGCTTTCCTAAAGAAGTTTTCAAAGATTTTTTGAAGGAATGGAGATTGGGTGAGAGTCTAACAGAGAGGGGAAGGGCGTTCCATAGGAACGGTGCAGCCCTAGAAAAGTCTGTTTTTATGGTGCCAGAGTGCCATAGTGCTCTTCAAGGGTAAGCAGTCAAAATATTTAATAACAGTTTAACAACTTACCTGGGGTCTGCCAGGAAAGGGGCTGTAATAGGGGATAGGGGCAGTGGTGTGTGTGTGTGTGAGGGGTGCAATGTGTGTGGGGGGGTGTGTGAGGGCTGGGGGTGCAGTTTGTGTACAGGCTTGCCTTGTGTTTGTGAAGGATGTAGTGTGTGTGTGTGCGCGTGTGTGTGTATTGGGGCAGTGTGTGTGGGGTACAGTGTGTGTATGGAGGGGCAATATATGTGTATGGGAGGCAGCATGGAGGGGTACTGTATGTGTGTGTATATGGTGGGCAATGTGTGTATGGAGTGTAGTGTGTGTATGGAGGGACAATGTAAGGCCTTCCTTCTTACCTCTTGACTGGAAGGGTGGAGAGTACAAGGCAATCCCTGGCGGATAGGTAGAGAAGCCCTGATGGTCCCAGTGGTGAGAGTGAACTGTAGCAGCTCCTGAGGCTAGAGTTCACTTTTGCAAGATTCGGAGCGTTGGAATGCCGGCAGGGGAGAGTGAGGCACAATTCCTGTGCTATGACCATGGCACTGGGGAAATATTTTGGGAACCGCTGGTATAGATCATGCTCTTGCAATCTCACTGCTTAATCCTCTGCAAATTTAGTCAATTCAGATATTACCTTACTTTAGGAGTTTTTATCGTCTGCTCTATAAATTAAACTTTAATCTCACACAGGAGGTTCCTGCAGGCTCTAACAGGCTATTATTAACAGAGCAAGAGATTAGAAATACTTTATTAGACTGTGTATAAAGGAAGTCTAAACATAAAATCTCCCTTTATAGGAAGTGCTTAGGGAGGCTGTGCAAATCACAACGCATGCATGGCAAGGGCTGCCTAAGCAAAGTTTTTTAGCACCTCAATTACAGATAATTACAGGACCACTATAGTGCCAGGAAAACATACTCGTTTTCCTGGCACTATCGTGCCCTGAGGGTGTCCCCACCCTCAGGGACCCCCTCCCGCCCGGCTCTGGAAGGGGGAAAGGGGGAAAAACTTACCTTTTTCCAGCGCTGGGCGGGGAGCTCTCCTCCTCCGTTCCTCCCCGTTGGCTAGCTGCGCACGCATTCAGCCAGTCGCATAGGAAAGCATTATCAATGCTTTCCTATGGACGCTGGCGTGCTCTCACTGTGAAAATCAATGAGACAGCCACTAGAGGCTTTGGGGGAAGGCTTAACCCATTCATAAACATAGCAGTTTCTCTGAAACTGCTATGTTTATAAAAGAATGGGTTAATCCTAGTTGGACCTGGCACCCAGACCACTTCATTAAAGGACCACTATAGTGCCAGGAAAACATACTCGTTTTCCTGGCACTATAGTGCCCTGAGGGTGCCCCCACCCAGCTCTGGAAAGGGGAAAAGGGGTAAAACTTACCTTTTTCAAGCACTGGGCGGAGAGCTCTCCTCCTCCGATCCTCCTTCTCTCCTCCCCGTCGGCTGAATGCGCACGCGCGACAAGAGCTGCGCGCGCATTCAGCCGGTCACATAGGAAAGCATTTACAATGCTTTCCTATGGACGCTGGCGTGCTCTCACTGTGAAAATCACAGTGAGAAGCACGCAAGCGCCTCTAGTGGCTGTCAATGAGACAGCCACTAGAGGAAATAGGGAAAGGCTTAACCCATTCATAAACATAGCAGTTTCTCTGAAACTGCTATGTTTATGAAACAATGGGTTAATCCTAGCTGGACCTGGCACCCAGACCACTTCATTAAGCTGAAGTGGTCTGGGTGCCTAGAGTGGTCCTTTAAGCAGTAAGACTATAGGGGTATGATCTATACACCAAAATGGTTTTGTTAAGCTAAAGTTGTTTTTGGCAGCCTTTAACAATCAAACTGATATAAACAACCAGAATAAGAAATAAGCCCATCAAATTAGTCTTTTGAATTCTACCTGTAAAAACTGAATTTGTCAGGATATGATGTTGTAGCTTCACAGGATAGTGTCAAGACATACATTGGCATATTGTACTTAGAAGATGTAGCTGAACATATTAAGTGATTTTGCACAGTAGTAGCACACATTACGCTTACAAAATACACACTAAAAAAGCCTTGTTAAATGTGTGTATGTTAAAAATCAGAAACAAAATAGAAAAAAAGTAAAATTTCACTGCATTATTAAGCAGAGTTTGAAAGTTAAATGGCTTCAAAAAAGTGTCAAAATAGCATTCAGTAAATGGTCTTAATTTGGTTCTTTATATAAATATATACTTGTGTGTGGCAATTTCTGTGATGGCTACAAAGCTTACAAGACAAATAAACCAAATTCTAAAATTGTTACTTTTTTTATTTTATTTTGCGCCTTGTATTCTGTGGACTGTAACTACCAAAAATAAACAGAAATCCTAGACTTATTATGTACTCTGTAAAATCAGGACAAATAAATGAATTTAATTTTGAATTACTTTTCATATGCTGAACTGTGCACTTTTGCTTTTTTGTGTAATGTTTGTATTATATAGAAGAAGTTATATATGCATATGTCACATCAAATTAAAGTCCTTTAACAAACAATATATAATATTTATGTGGGCACTTGAAGAGAAACCCTTAAATTATATTGGAACAAACCTATAGCTCAAAATCAGCAATTTTAATGCAGGCTGTGAAAGTCACAGCCATGGGAGGGCTGCATGGACAGAAACAAAAGTGATTTAAATCCTAAATGGCAGAGAATTGAGCAGGGAGACTTCAGAGGCATGATCTATACACCAAAAATACCTAATTAAGCTAAAGTTGTTTTGGTGCCCACAGTGCCCCTTTAAGACATACTAATAGACAATGAGTTATCAGTATTTGCATAGAAATAAAACATGGAAACACTTATTGTAGACTATGTGCCTTGAGGGCTGGGATACTGCAGTGCAGTATCCCATATAGTGCATTCTTAACCTCGAGGGACCATTATTCCAATACTCAGCATTGTATTCAGAGTGCATCTCTGTGAAATCGTTGATGGACATTATAAATGGGATTTGGAATAGGGGATAGTTACAGTTAGAGGGGCTAACGTATACAAGAATTAAAGTTTATGTATTCTGTAATTTCCATCACTCAGCCAGGCAGAGCCTGGACAAGAATCATGGGAATCACAATGTACTTTTGAGATGAGCAAGATTATCAGGTAATTCTTAAAGGAGCACTAGAGTGTCAGGAATACAAACATTTATTCCTGACAGTATATGTCTAAATGTTCCATTTAGGTACCTGGCCCCATCAGTAAAGTAAAAGGTGAGTTTACTTTTTTCCCAGGGCCGCGCAGGTCTCCACGTCTATCACTCTGCCTCTTGTACCATATGAATCCATTGCAACATCTAGCAACTGTTATAGCGTTTTGTAAGCAATAAGGTTTTTTTTGTGTTTTTTTTGTAAATATGATTTTTATTGTTGTTGTTGCAAGAAAAATCCGACATTCCAAACTTATCTGTAACATGTAGACTCGCAGGTCATAGATATATATTCATAGAACGATGGTCACATTTCAATAGCATATTCGTGCGGGCGCGCAGGCCCCGTCAACCTTGGAATATTGTGTCGGCCCTCAGGCCTCTCTTTCTCTCTGTGGTTTAATTATATCTCTGGGTCCCCGTGTTCTGGCTGGAATCCTGGGTCCCACGAGTTGGTGTCCCATCCAGTAGGTCTCTTTACAGTCCGGGGAGTCTAATTCCCCGGGTCTGGGTGCTGTGTTGACCTGCCCTAATTCCTTCATGTCGCCTATTGGTAGTCGTGCGTGTGTAAGTAATATGTTGTAGTTCTGTACTGTATAATTATTGTACTAAATTGACATTCTGCGAGCATCTATTACTTGCTATAATTATATTAAACAAACATTCAATATCACATTGTTTTGTGTATTTGCTATTCACATATTCGACCATAATACCAAGAACTATAAAAAAATATTAAAGCTGTTACTTATTGCTTAATTATAGGTTATTAAATATTAATTGAAAAAATAATATTCATAGTTAAGCCATGGCCACAACAGTTTCTTAGTTGTGTTTCTGTACCTGTATGGGTGTCAGTGCTTGTATTTGTGTTTCTGTATCTGCATGCGTGTCAGTGTATTTATGTGTGTTGGTGTATCTGCACGTGTGTCATTATTTGACACATATGCAGATACATAGACACACACAGATACAAACACTTCCACACATGCACATGCACATAGCCAGACAAACACAGACACACATATACACAGACACAAATACTGGTAAACATACAGATAGACAGACACCCAGATACAAACACTGACACATATACAGATGTACAGATACACCGATATTTGTGTGTATCTGTATGTGTGTCAGTGTTTGTATATGTGTATATCTGCATCTACATTTGTCAGTGTTTGTATTGGAGTGTCATTGTTTGTACTTGTGTGTGCATCTGCATGTGTCAGTATGTATGCCAGTGTTTGTATCTGTACATGTGTCAGTGTGTCTATGCAACTGCATGAATATCAGTGTTTGCATCTGAGCGTCTGTATATGTCTGTATCTGTACATGTGTCAGTGTTATATCTGTGTAAATGCATGGGTGTTAGTGTGTGTGTGTATGTATATATATATATATATATATATATATATATATATACACATACACACACACACACACACACACACAGGGAAGAGGTGAAGCAGAGAAACCTCAGAGAGAAAAAGGGGAGATGGGTCAGAGAAAAACATATTTGAAATATTTATTTTATCACATGAAAATCATGGATCTTGGTTAGGATGGAACTACTCATAATGCAAAAAATAATGAATAGCTTTGCCAGATGTAAGATTATGGAGGCACAATGTATGACATATATCCCTGCAACCTCAATAAATATTATATGTGCAGTGAGAAGAATGGTGCAATACCTGCATGCTAGTGGAACAGGGGGCAATTCCATGCACCTGTAATAAATCTGGTGACACTGGAATTACTAGCTGTAGTTAAATACTTGACAAGATAGGGATGCTACTTCCATAAGCTATGTTATTGTTTGGGGGGGGAGGAATAAATAAAAAGGGGTTTTCAGTTTACTAAATTGATAAATAAATTTAAAAGAATACTAAGTAGGACATTTCAAAACATTTAGCACTTTGTATAACCAAATTATTTAAATGGTTGTTTGCCTTTAGAAATTCTCTACTGTGATCTTCTATTCCCACATGATCTTGGGTTCCAGATGTGACCTTGTTAACATGTTACATAACACAGGTCTGCATCAACTCTTCCAAGAATGTTTTTGCTGTTTGTAACTTGATACAAGTTGGAAGGGTTATTCATTTATCATGCAAAGCAAAGACAGATGTTTTGTTGTAGGTTCATGTGTTGCGTAGAGAGAACTTTTAAAATACAATTATTATTTTTTTGTTTTTATTTTACATTTACTGCTTATAGTGCACTGAGTCCCCCTGTCACAATGTACCTGCACGGACTTGCTTACAATCACTGCCGCTATACGACTGCTGGAAAGTAACTTATTGGGCAAGACTCACCTCCCCACCCCACCCCTCCAAAAAAGGCATCTAAAGGAATGATATAGTGTTAGGAATAACAAATTTGTATTCCTAACGATATATTGAACCTGTTCCTACTCTTATTCAGGTCTCCCTACCGGTTGCAATAAAATTAAAAAGTAAATAAAAGATTTACTTACCTTTTTCCAACACCAAGGCTACCTTGGCAAAGCAAACCTCTCCACCTCCCACAATGTCACAGAGGAGGCATGGCCTCCGCTGCCAATGTCCAATCCAATGCTCCTCTGTGAGATACAGTGGTCTGAGTTACTCTAATGTACCTTTAACATGGAACAATCACTTATTGGGATTTAAATAGTATGTTGACTTATCCCCTATATACCAATGGTTTCCAAACCCGTCTTCAAGGCTCGCGTGACAGTCCAGAATTTACGGATTAAAAAAAATTGGGTAATCCCTTAATCCTGGACTGGTAGGTGTGCCCGGAGGACTGGCTTGGAAACCGCTGCCCTATACATTTAACAAACACGTATTTCTGAAAAATAATATTATATGTAGAAATTCATATTGCTGCATTTACCTTTATCCTGAATAGAGTAGAAAAAGAGGAGAAACAGAATCAACATTACTGTTCTCCTCTTTTGCAATGTGTGCCCTGGCTCTGCCTGGACTGAATTGGTTTGTGATGTCACTTGTTAAAATCTTACCATATCCATAAAACATTTAAAAAAAAAAAAAAAAATGAATGGGACACCACATTAAATATGTTTAAACCAAATTAAAGTGTTACACCAGCTATTTTTAGGTCCTTTTATTCTTCTTGTATAGGTCATTATCTATCCATAGATTTTAAACACTAAATTCCAATTTTTGATTTATTCATTTTAAATCAGGAGCATTGAACACCAAACTGTGCATGCACGCGGTGTGTGTGTACTGTTCACTAGCGAGCAAGGTGAGCAGAGTGCTCATCTCGATGATAAAGCCCACCGAGTTAATGCTAAGCGGTGTAAGGAGAGAGTGAGGGCTGCAAATGGGTAGGTGGGTTGACAATGGGCTCGGAAAACAAGTTGTAGGGACAAATAGATTATAAGAATTTATGGATTAAGGAGGCAGGAAAGGAAGGAGTTGTGTGCACATAGTCCAACTGGACCCTCTTTGCAGGCAGATTTCACAGTGCGGCCTGCAAGGGAAGGAGCTGAATATGTATATCACCAGCACGGTAGGCTTGCTGACGACTGATGTATTTTTTGCTCAGGATTCATTTAAGGCAGTCCAGAACAGTGTTGTTCACTTATTCCTTGGGTGCAACTAGGAACCGCTGCACATACAAAGTTCTCTGTATGTGCAGCGGTTCAAGCAGGATTGCTCTCCATGACCACTTCTTAAAGCAGACATGGTCGTGGATGTTGAAGTAACCCTTTAAATGTGATTTTCAAGGAAATTTCCAGAGACTGCCATTTCCCATTTAATTATAGAGTAATAGTGAATTCAGAGACCCTGAACATATCAATATATTTATTAAAGAGTGTTTATGAAAAGAAAGAAAAAATATATATACAAAATCTTATTTAATGCTGCCACCTGCTGGTAATTCTCACAATTCTATGTATGTTAAAGAGTACCGTTCTTGCCTATTTATTTTAGATCACTTTATATTCTTTGTTGTTATCCAACAATGTTGTATTCTAATGCAGTACAGCTAGTGTCTACCATAGCCAATGAGCATCAATTTGTTATTCACAGCAGACACTGCGATCTACTCAGTGAATATTTCAATGACTACAGAGGCAATTAGGGGTAGGATGCAATTGTTTTGTTTGCTACTAATGACACATAGGCGTACAGTTTTATACCTAAATTTAGGTTTTTTTTAAAAAAAGGGGGCTTTCGTTTCTTTATTTTTGCATGGGCATTGTTGTATATTAAACCAGAAATAGAAACTATGCATCTGGATATTTTCAACATTTGCAGAGCAGAATCCGGATTGTATTTGGTGCAGTAGGAATAAGAATGTGTATTTTCTTTTCCATTGAAGAGCCAGATTATGGAATTTGGACATGGGTTTACTAATCTCATGCTTAAAAACACATCATAGAGTTAAATGATTATACACTGTTCCTTCAAGGCCAGTTAAGCAAAAAAAAAAAAAAGGAAGAAAAGTTGTGACGAATATCAAGAGGGCCGCCATAACCAGGTTGGTCAATAAATCGCTAAGTTCAAACACCATGACTTCTGTCTACTATTTGCCAATTTCGTGCATCGCTGGTTAGGGGACACTTCAATATGTGCCAAATGAGTGTTGGGGCTATTTTCATTTGGCGCAGTTTATTGATTCTGCCTCCCCCCATCTGTTGCTTCTTTAGCATCCTAATCATAATTTTTTTAAAAAGCACCATTTTTTTTTTGTAGGCAACTTATTTATCAGTCTGACACTTTTCCAGAGTGTTCTGTTTAACTTCCATATTTCGGTCACTCTAAATCTGCTTGGTCAGCCCAGCCTCTATAGTACTGTAGATGTCACAGTCCCTGTATACTGCACCAGTCGCCTATCAGGGCTGGACAGGGTCTGCTACATACTTGCTAGGAAATCGGTACATTGAGGGGTTTTAAATTAAATTACAAATATTCAATCAGTTTGGTGAACTTTTCTCTATCGTACACTATCTGCATACATTTTTTTTGGGGGGAAGGGGTTGTGTCCATTATGATTTTGTTTTTAATTGAACATAATAAAAGTGAAGTTTTAAATTACGTACTTTTTGGGAAACCCGATAGTTCCAGGACTACTCTCGTTGCACAATTAAGATTAAGAATCTGGGGTTATCCCCCTCTGTCCTGTAATTTATTGACAAGCTCCTTTTCAGTTTGACTGTTTTAAGAATAGTTGGACAACGTACTTGTGAGACTATCTACTGAGGATCTGTGTAGACCCCAGTTTGTATTCTTCTCTCAGTATACTAGGCTATTTCTCACTCTTTGTTCGATGGGTTTCATCTTTGCTTAACAACAACGCAGCTTTATTTTATTTTATTTTTTATTAGACACCTACAACAATTGTATAAATGTACATTATGAGCAGCATTAAATGTCAGTATGCCATCATTGTTAAAATGTTACACTCAACCTCTATTATATTTATTGAATCATAAAAGCTTTTATTGGCATTCTGTTATCAGCAAAATAACGGGTGTATAGTGATTTAATGACCTGTTCTGTTTTTCATTCATAATAACAAGGGGATGCGTGTGTGATGCTCCTATTAAACGAATGGGTTAATACACAGAGACAATATTGGATTTTTAAGGCATATATCACAAAATAATTATAATCTATAAAATTATGAGAAAACTAATTTAGATATGCTGCAGAGAATGTCCGGCTTTAATACAATAATTTATGTGCTATTTATAATTCAATCTGCAGGTAAAACCCCATCTTTTACTACCATTTCACTTCTTTTATTTTCACTCTTGCCCTAGTTTCTTATAAACCAGATTATGTAATTAACATACTTGCAAAGCTTCAACACATTAAAAACTGCAGATCGGATCAGCTAATATTTAGGCTTTATTTGGGAACAAGACTGGTCCATGAAATGGTATTTCCGATTGTGCTGCTCACATCAATGGCAGTCACTGGGAAGATTGCCAATATTTGAGTTTTTTTATTATTTTTTTAGTTCTTCAATTCAAAATACACACGTCAGATTGCAATTGGTGATCGATAAATAAGAAATCCAACATTTCAAGATGCTGCAAAATCACCAAGTAGTTTTGTTTAAAAAAAAAAACATTACCGGAGCTATCTGCTCTTGGTTTCTATTAAACCTTGGTGATTGATGACATGGCTTACAACTCATCAGTAAAATTTGCGTTGGCAACTAATACTATGTGAGACACGTGATATTAAAGTGTCCCTTGTATCACTATTTCTAGATGCATCACTAGTGAATCATCATAGAAATGGCAGTATGGAAGTCCTGCAAGGCAGGGAATCATAGAGACAACTGTTATCCTCCAGCAGCTGCAGGACCTTTATTACAAGTTGTACAAGCTACAATATCTGTGATAGCAGCATGCACATGCTGTTAATGGACAGTCTCAGAGGCTGTCACAGTCATGGGAGTACTAGGACAGCCTGTCTATGGT